GCAGTAATCACTCCAGTTTTCAAATCGGGGGATAAAAATGAGGTCAGCAATTACAGGCCGATTAGTATACTTCCAGTTGTCTCAAAGATTGCTGAGAAAGTAATTGCGGAGCAGATAAAAGAACATTTAAATAAAAACAATATATTACATTCTATGCAATTTGGATATAGAAAACACCATTCCACCGAAACTGCATGTTGTTATTTTATGGAAGTGGTGAAGTCAAAGCTGGAAAAGGGCGGGGTCGTGGGAGCCGTGTTTTTGGATCTAAGCAAGGCGTTTGACACGGTCAAACACTCTGTGCTACTGGGAAAACTGAGTAACTGTAATCTGTCTCTAAGTGCACTGCAGTGGGTAGAATCATATCTCAGTAACCGTGTCCAATGCGTAAGAGTCAAAAGTAAGTTATCAACAACTAAGGCTAATGACATGGGTGTCCCACAAGGCTCTGTTCTTGGGCCATTGCTGTTTGCGCTTTACATAAATGATCTTCCTTCAGTATGTGGTGAGGTGGATATGGTAATGTACGCGGATGATATTGTAGTTTACGTGCATGGAAGTGATGCAACCATTGTAGCTAATAGGTTAACCAATGTTATGGGAAAAATCTTAGGTTGGCTTACCTCTGCCTCGCTCACACTGAATGTAAATAAAACAGTAGCAATGTGTTTTACCAAAACTAATCGACTGAAGTCCTCCTCGCCATGCATCTATGCAAATCAGAGTCAAATAAAAGTAGTGAAAGAATTTAAATATTTAGGTCTTGTTTTGGATTCTACTTTTACTTTTAAAAAACATATTAAGAAAGTTTGCAGCAAGCTAAAATACAGTTTGTCTGGTTTTAGACATATTAGAAATGCATTGACTCATGATGCTGCAAAAATTTACCTGGAGGCAATGATAATTCCTCATATTAATTACTGTATTTCTTGTTGGTCACAGACGAGTGAAACAACAATAAAACCTTTAAAATCTTTATATAATCAAGCTGTTAAAGTATTAGATAAAAAACCACTGAGATATCATCACTGTCTGGTTCTGGGAAAATACAGTATGTTAAACTTTGATAATATAATTGTGTATGCCAATGTGCGATTAGTTTTTAAAATTTTGAATAATATAGCGCCTCCTCCCCTGAAAACATTTGTACAGTTTTGTTCAGAACAGATGACTAGGAGCACCAGGTCAACAAGTTGCAATGATTGCAGGCTGCCTAAACGTAGCTCGGCCTTTGCACAGACAGCCTTCTCATTCAAGAGCATTAAAGAATGGAACAAACTCCCACAGAGTCTAAAACTTACTTTTGACCTGAAGATTTTTTCTCGTAATACAAGGAAAGTGCTATTGGACAACCAGTTGTGCCAGCATAGATAATTGTGTATGTAAATATGACTTTTTAGTGAGGTTTTATTGTAGTAATATTGGTATGATTTAGTTAGACTGATGGTTGTAATGGGGAATGGTTGAATGCATTAACTAATAGCTGTATTTTAGTGATTAATTATTACATTTTATATTGTATATTTTGTATTGCAACTTACCTGCTCGGGGACTGCAGATGGAAACTAGCTTAAGCTAAATCTGGTGCAAAGCATCTTTAATTAATGTTTTTTTGCACATTGTCCCTGTTGAAATAAATAAATAAAAAAAATAAAAAAAAATCAGCAGTCGGATCAGCCTTCCTCCAAGTGTCGAAAGTATTGAGACGGATTTAACCAGTATGGATTCACATGCATCATCGTCAACGAAGTACAACATCCCCAGTGTGTAGTGTGCACTGTGGTGCTTGCACATGAAAGCCTAAAACCTGTAAAAATGCTACGACACTTGAAAACCAAGCACCCCTCTCTTGCTGCTAAACCAGTTGATTTTTTCCGACGAAAGGAGCGAGAGTTGCAAGGCCAAAAGAAAGTTCTAACTAAACAAACAACAATCCCTGCCAAAGCTCAACAGGCATCATATGAGGTGGCTTATTTAATTGCACTGGCAAAAAAGCCACACACGATCGGGGAAACCCTTATCAAACCCGCTGCAAGTCGGGCTATGCATGGGGATAAACTGGCCCGTGAGCTAGAAGCAGTGCCTCTGTCTTATGGGACTATTGCCCGGCGCATCTCCGACATGGCCCAGGACATAAAGTGTCAGCTGGTGGACAGAGTGAAGAAAGGGAAATATGCTTTACAATTAGATGAATCCACGGATGTATTAAACTCTCCCCAGCTGCTTGTATTCGTCAGATACAGTTTTGACGGAAAACTTAACGAGGAAATTCTGTTTTGCACCGCGCTTGAGGGAACGTGCACAGGCGAGGACATTTTCACAAAAGTTGACAAACTAAAAGAAGAGGGACTGTCTTGGGGTGAGTGCATCGGTGTGTGTACAGATGGTGCTGGAGCGATGCTGGGGAAAAAGAAAGGTCTTAAATCAAGAGTCTTGCAAGTGGCCCCTCACATAAATTTCACGCATTGTATTATACACAGAGAAGCTCTTGCGAGCAAAACACTTGATCCAGAACTTAAACGTGTTCTTGAGACCGCGATTAAAATTGTCAACTACATAAAAGTGCGTCCACTCAATATCAGGCTGTTTGCCACTCTCTGTCACGAACTGGGATCGGAGCATGAGTGCTTGCTGTTCCACATAGAAGTCAGGTGGCTTTCGCGAGGGAATGTGCTCAGCCGCCTGTTTGAGCTGCGGGACGAAGTACGCTTCTTTCTGATGGAGCATGGGTCCCAGCTCGCTGACCACCTCACTGATCCTGACTGGTTAACAAGGCTAGCGTATTTGTCTTGCATATTTGAAAAACTGAATGGCCTTAATATGTCATTGCAAGGTGAAAACAAGCATCATGTCACTGAATGATAAAATCTACGCATTCACGAGAAAACTTGAGCGCTGGACTGAGCGAGTTGAAATGTGTAGGATTGACATGTTTTCTGAGCTGGACGAATTCATTGAGGAAAATGAACTGAGTGTTAACATAGTGATGAAGTCTATCACTACCCACCTTCAAGCCCTACTGGAACACTTCAACAAGTATTTCCCAAAGGAAACAGCTCCAGAACAATATGACTGGGTAAGATCACCGTTCACTGTAACAAGGGCTAATCATCTGACATCCAACCTGGAGGACGCATTGGTCACTGCAACTGTCAGTGCGGTCACTGTCAACTGTCAAGCGACCGAACCTTAAAGACAGCGTTTAATTCCAAGACGCTGGCTGAGTTCTGGATTTCTGTTGAGAGGGAATACCCACAGCTATCCAAGGCCGCTATGGATGTACTGATGCCTTTTGGCACTACCTACTTGTGCGAAAAGACTTTCTCGGCACTCACGTACATTAAAAATAAACACAGATCGCGACTGAATGTAGAGAATGAACTCCGAGTGGCGGTCTCCAAAATTAAACCAAGAATGGACTTGCTGTGCTCCAAGCATTGTGACCATCCATCTCATTAGGAGATGTTAGGCTATTAAAATGAAAGTAATGTGTAAATTACTATAAAACAGTATTATAGTTTGATTGTTGTGTTCTTTTTTGTTGTAAACTAAACATGCTCGTGTTTAGATAGGCCTATTTGTGCGTGTGCGCCTTTGTCCGCAACGGCATTGTGCCCATCCATCTCATTAGGAGATGTTAGGCTAATATTTAAATGAAAGTAATGAGTAAATTACTATAAAACAATATTAGAGTTGTTTGATTGTTGTGTTCTTTTTTGTTGTAAACATGCTTGTGTTTAGATAGGCCTATTTGTGCGTGTGCGCCGTTGTGCGCAACGGTATTGTTGGACAGAAACACCAGCGTTTGAGAGGACAGAAACACCAGCGCTCGAGAGGACAGGACAGAAACACCAGCGCTCGAGAGGACAGGACAGAAACACCAGCGCTCGAGAGGAGAGAAACACCAGCGCTTGAGAAGACAGAAACACCAGCGCTCGAGAGGACAGAAACACCAGCGTTTGAGAGGACAGAAACACCAGCGCTCGAGAGGACAGGACAGAAACACCAGCGCTCGAGAGGAGAGAAACACCAGCGCTTGAGAAGACAGAAACACCAGCGCTTGAGAAGACAGAAACACTAGCGCTTGAGAGGACAGAAACACCAGCGTTCAAGAGGACAGAAACACCAGCGTTCAAGAGGGCAGAAACACCAGCGTTCAAGAGGACAGAAACACCAGCGTTCGAGAGGACAGAAACACCAGCGCTCGAGAGGACAGAAACACCAGCGTTCAAGAGGACAGAAACACCAGCGCTCGAGAAGACAGAACAGAAACACCAGCGTTCAAGAGGACAGAAACACCAGCGTTCGAGAGGACAGAACAGAAACACCAGCGTTCGAGAGGACAGAACAGAAACACCAGCGTTCGAGAGGACAGAACAGAAACACCAGCGTTCGAGAGGACAGAACAGAAACACCAGCGCTCGAGAGGAGAGAACAGAAACACCAGCATTCAAGAGGACAGAAACACCAGCGTTCGAGAGGACAGAACAGAAACACCAGCGTTCGAGAGGACAGAACAGAAACACCAGCGTTCGAGAGGACAGAACAGAAACACCAGCGTTCGAGAGGACAGAACAGAAACACCAGCGCTCGAGAGGAGAGAAACACCAGCGCTCGAGAGGAGAGAAACACCAGTGTTCGAGAGGACCGAAACACCAGCGCAGAAACACCAGCGCTCGAGAGGACAGAACAGAAACACCAGCGTTCGAGAGGAGAGAAACACCAGCGCTCGAGAGGAGAGAAACACCAGTGTTCGAGAGGACCGAAACACCAGCGCAGAAACACCAGCGCTCGAGAGGACAGAACAGAAACACCAGCGTTCGAGAGGACAGAACAGAAACACCAGCGCTCGAGAGGAGAGAAACACCAGCGCTCGAGAGGAGAGAAACACCAGTGTTCGAGAGGACCGAAACACCAGCGCAGAAACACCAGCGCTCGAGAGGACAGAACAGAAACACCAGCGCTCGAGAGGACAGAAACACCAGCGTTCGAGGACTAACCTGATGAACCCTGCCGTACAGCGCGGCCTCCTCCATCACGGTGATAATGACGGAGGGGTAGATCATGTGCTCTCGCACCAGAGCCTGGATTCCCGCGCTCCAGCGACCGCCCACTGCGATGATCTGCCTGGGGCATGAGGACCTCTCCTCTCCGGACACCACCTTCTGGAAGTGCTTCAGGATCACCGACATCTACACAGAGACATGTTCAAAATTAAAATCTGAGGGTCCCTCTTTATATTAGAGAGGACCCATTATGCCTATTCACAAAGTCTTGATGTTGTTTTTGGGCTCTACTTTGTACTTTTAATGTTAAGTAAATGACGTTGAATGTAATTTATTGTTATTGGGCTGTGTAATACCTACCAGCTTTAACTGAATGTGTAATATTTACCAACTCAGACCTATGTGCAATATATTTTAGGCTTTGTGAAATTCACTGAAAATTGTCCTTGGTGAAAGGTCCTGATGTATATGATGTAGTTCTGTGCAAAAGTTAAAATTAAGAACGGAAAGAACCGAAAACATGGGGATTTCTTTAAAAGAGAATAATCGCACAACCTATCCGATAGTCTATAATAAAATCAACTAATCGAATATTAGAAAATCGTGAATTATCCCTTATTTAAAGTGGGACAAATTTGGTCTGAAATGGCACACACTGTGCACTCCTCCTCTTTGGCGTCACCTGCTCAGGAGCTTGTGAATACAGGACATCGGCCTCGTCCAGCACCAGGTGACACAGCCTCAGGAACAGAAAGCACTGAGCGTCCAGCAGTCTCATCATGGAGAACGGGGTCGTCACCAGCAGCTGACCTGTAACGACATCGCAACCACCTCACAGCTTTGGGTTTCGGTCCACACTCAACATCTCGTGTGCTATGGACGGACACTCACAGTTCCTCTGGATCTTGAACTTCTTGGGCTCGTCCTGGTCCAAGCCCAGCAGAGCACTGGTGGGATGGAGACTGTGAGTGGCTCTGCTGTCCTCCAGGAGCTCCAGCACCGTCTGGACTTTCTCCCAGCCCGGACACAGAATCACCGCCACAGGCTGCAGGCAAACACACACACTCAAGGTGTAGCAGCACAACTGGGGTCAGATCATGACAAGAGCATTAGAGGAAAACAGAGTTTAGAACTGTGTGCTCTGAGATGAAAATCCCATTTCTGTTCTTGGCCATTTGGTTTTTTGGATTTGGATAATACCGTGAACACACAGCTAGGACATTTTTGAAAGAATGTGTGGGGAAATGCATTTGATTGCAGTTTGAGTGAGAAATAATTGCAGTGCTCTGGTCAACATCTATAAAGTTGGTATCGCTATAGAGTGAAAACCGGTGAATGCAGTTTACAGGTTTCATAAAAAGAGAACGATATGAGCGCGTGAGTTGCAGCCAGTGAGAATACGGTCATGTTTGCGGACCAAATAGAGATGCAACAAGGAACACAAAGACATGTGAAATAAAATCACATCATCATGTTTTAAAGAAGAGTAGTTTTGATTAAGTGGTGGAAATAACGGATGATGGCCACAGAACGCTAACAATTACACCGCGTGCAGTGCAAACTCAAAACACATCATTACATAGGCTACATTAGTTTAAATAGATTTTGTGTGTGTGTTTCATGGATGTTTAGATTACTACAAGAGTTCGCATATTCTCTTTTCTTGAAAATATTTAACACATAAATTTCCCCCTGGGGGATTAATAAAGTAAATAAAATAAAATAAAATCAAATTTAGAAATTAGATCTATTTAAATGTTTCAGTTTGTTTTCATATTATAATAATATAATATGAAAACAAATTGAAGCATTTAAAATGATATATTATACCACATCAAAATCAAATACTTCAATTAATTTTTTTATATTATATTAGGCCTGTATTTTATTATATTATAAGCCTACTAAAGAATTGATCTCACAAGGACATTGTTTAGGGCTACTTTAAAAAGTTTGAAACTCCCTGCTAAAGAAAATATTGGAAATTCATAAGCAATAAACAATCATTTAACTTTGCTGGTTTAAAGCTATATTGATCCTCGTTTTATTTCTCCTTTTGTCCCAAAGTCTGCCTGCCATGGTCCATAATGTTTGAATGAAACAACAACAGCGTGAGCGTGCCGCTAGACGTTACGCAGTTGTCCACGTCTGTCGCTATGGTTACTATGGCAGTACGAGCGGAAACTACTCGGTTACTCACGTAACCTCAGTTCCCTGAGTTAGGGAACGAGTATTGCGTAGCAATACGCAGTGGGGAAACTCCTTTTCCTCGATTTACTGAAGCCTTTATGTAAAGCGCATTTGCAGCTGCACAGCAGAACATGAGCGTCTGGCTCACTCATAGGCTGTGCTGCGGCAACTGCATATACAAGGCGCGGGCGCCTCTGACGTGCGACCAATGAGATCACTCTGCCTCATACATGTCAGAGCCCGCCTAGGGGGCGTGTCCTTAGACTATAATAGTCCCCGAATTCGCCATTATAGCAGGTTTAACGACTGAAGCGACAACTTGCCATGTTACTATAGTGCGGCTGGCTACGCAATACTCGTTCCCTAACTCAGGGAACTGAGGTTACGTGAGTAACTGAGTAGTTCCCTTTCGAACCGTCACTTCGTATTGCGTAGCTATACGCAGTGGGGACGCCATGCAAAACGCCGCACTGGATAACTGGCTGCTACTGCAACTCAGGACCCCATAGCATACAGAACAAGCCATAACCGCATAATTATGTATAAATAGACCAGACATCGTCAGGTCTAAATAGTACACCTCAGTTAGTAATAACCCAACCTACTACACCAATGAACCCAGACCCTGTCGGGGTTATTAGTATATGAACATACCACCAGACAAGTGGGTTTATATATATAATTATACCCGGCCAAAGCGGGTTTATATATGTATGGAATATAACCGGCCAAAGCGGGTTTTATATATATATATATATGTGAATGTGATTGTGCACAGTAATATATGACAAGACCAGCCACCGACGGGTCTTAATCATACCGAAAGCACCTTCGCCTGCAGGGAAGGCACTTTCATATTATAGAAATTCATAAATGTGGAAGGCGAGGACCAGCCGGCCGCATCACAAATATCCCTGATGGGAATGCCAGATGACCAAGCCCATGACGAGGCCATACCTCTGGTCGAATGGGCCCTGATGCCTATAGGGCAAACTTGACCCGTTGCGGTATAAGCCATAGAAATAGCATCCACTATCCATCTAGACAGTCTTTGCTTAGTGACTGGATCCCCCTTGGATTTACCACCAAAGCAGACAAAAAGCTGTTCTGATTGTCTAAAAGACGCAGAACGGTCCAGATAGATTCTCAGCGCTCTGACAGGGCAGAGAAGATTAACCTCTCCATCCTCTGCAGAAGGAGGGAGGGCTGATAACGTCACCACCTGTGCTCTGAATGGTGTTGAGAGCACTTTAGGAACGTAACCATGTCTGGGCTTGAGGATGACTCTGGAGCCATCTGGACCCAACTCCAAACATGCAGGGTTCACAGAGAGCGCCTGCAGATCTCCCACTCGCTTGATAGATGCCAACGCCATAAGGAGAGCGGTCTTCAGCGAGAGTGGTTTTAAATCAACCGATTGGAGCGGTTCAAAAGGCGGACCTTTCACAGCCCCCAGGACCGTGGAGAGGTCCCAAGACGGCACAGACGGAGGTCTGGAGGGGTTCATTCTCCTAGCACCTTTAAGGAATCCCACGACCAGGTCGTTTCTTCCCAGTGACTGGCCAGCCACCAGAACATGATGTGCTGCTATGGCTGTCAGATACACTTTGAGCGTGGACGGGGAGCGATCTGCATCCAGCAGCTCCTGTAAGAATGAGAGAACCACAGATATCTCACATGACTCTGGGTCAGCCTGATTTTCCGAGCACCAGCTGGAGAAACCCGACCATTTTGAAGCATAAAGGCGCCGAGTCGAAGGGGCCCTGGCTTCAGATATGGTGCTTAGGACCTTCTCAGGAAGGACCTTTGGTACCCGTTGAGGGGCCAAACATGGAGGGCCCATAAATCGGGTCTCAGATGCCACAGTGTCCCGTTCGCCTGTGTGAGGAGGTCTTTCCTCAGTGGGACAGGCCATGGGATTGTGTCCGATAACTGAACCAGTTCCGGGAACCACGGTCTGGTTTTCCAGAGAGGGGCCACCAGAAGGACTGGGCAAGGAATGCCCTCGTGCAGCGCTCCCCAACCCAGGTTGGACGCATCTGTAAGAACCACTTTCCTCCTGGAAATTGTTCCCATTGTCACCCCCTTGTGGTACCAGTTCTGAGCCCGCCAGGGAATCAGGGTTCTTAAACAACCGTGATTCACCATAACGCGCAAGTTGCCTGACTGCCATGCATGAGTTGGCACACGGCGTTTCAGCCAATGCTGCAGCAGGCGCATGCGCAGTAATCCCAAGCGGAGTACTGGCGATGGTGCTGCCATGAGACCAAGCAGTTTCTGAAATTTCTTCAGTGGCGCGCGCTCTGAAAGTGCCTGCAAGCGCTCGCATTGAGAGTGCGCGCTCTGGCGTGAGTCGCGCTGTCATAGCTCTCGAGTCTAAAACTGTGCCCAGAAAGATCACGCTCTGGCTGGGGGTTAGTTTGCTTTTTGAAACATTGATGGTGAAACCCATGCATTTTAGATGGCCATCAAATCCCTGTGAGCTAATAGCTCGATTCTCGACTGTGCCAGCACCAGCCAGTCATCGAGATAATTCAACACGCGCACTCCCTGATGTCTCAGAGGAAAAAGCGCTGCATCCACACACTTCGTGAATGTGCGGGGTGCCAAAGATAGACCGAACGGCAGAACGGTGTATTGATAAGCCTGGCCCTCGAAGGCGAATCTCAAGAATGGCCTGTGACGAGGATTTATTTGAATGTGAAAGTAAGCATCTTTCAGATCCATTGTGACAAACCAATCCCCCGGGCGCACTTGCGCAAGGATATATTTGATAGTTAACATTTTGAACGGCCGCCTCATGAGAGCTTTGTTCAAATGTCTCAAATCTAGAATGGGTCTGAGACCGCCGTCTTTTTTCGGAATCAGAAAATAGCGGCTGTAAAAACCCATATGTTTTAGCGCGGGGGGGACTAATTCTATCGCCCCTTTTGCTAAAAGATTCTGTACTTCGGTGCGAAGCACGTGACCCACGTTGCTTCTCACCAAAGTGTCGAGAACCGCCTGAAATTTTGGGGGTCTGCGAGCGAATTGGAGCGAGTAACCTCTTTTTTTAGTGTTTATGACCCAACTCGACACACCGGGGATAGCTTGCCAGGCTAGAACCCGTGTGGCTAGGGCTTGACACACAGATTGGGGCTGGTCGCCTAATGCAGGGGGACCTGATACCCTTATATTGTGATTTTTGCACACATTGAGTATTGGACTGACTATACAAGCATTTGCGTGTGGGGAAGTCAGTGTTACAACAGGGGAGGGGCCGCCTGATGAAGGGGGACCGTGAACCCATGGGTTGTGTTTGTGAAACATGCTCTTTTTGTGCTTTATTTGGGTCGCCGTGAAAACGGCGTTTGTTTGCAAGAACGCACTTACTGTTGCGGGCCTGTTTGCAGTAATAAAATCCCCAGCCGCCTGAACTGAACAGTTTTCTTGGCTTCTTCGAGGGTGGTCCGGCTAGTGCGGGACCCGTGCCCTCTCTCTTTCCTCAGCGTGCTAGGACGACTTTGGCGGCGCTGAGTGGGGCGCGGCGCTTGGTCTCGGGCCTTGGCGTCGGGGAAGTGGGAAGCGCTTGCTTGCTCTCGCCTGGCGCTGGGCATCAGCCACAGGGCGGGGCTGAGAGGCCTGTTTCGCGGGCTTTGTTGGCCGAGGCGTCGACGGGGCTAGCTTGTGAGCACTCGACGCCGAGCTAGAGCGTTTAGGCAAGAAGTGACGCATGGCCTGGGACGCTTTCTGTGCCTCGGTGTATCTCTCCGAGAACACCTTCACCGCCGGGCCGAAGAGGCCGGTGCTGGATACTGGGGCGTCGGGGAACCTCGTTCTCTCCGCGTCCTTAATGTCAGTGAGGGTAAGCCAGAGGTGGCACTCGAGCACGACCAAACTCGCCATATTCCTCCCGATAGCCTGTGCTGTGGCCTTGGTAGCTCTCAAGGCCTAGTCCGTGGCGCTTCGCAGGTCCCGAAAGGCCTCAGGGTCCGGGCCAGCCTCGTCCATAGACCGGAGGAGTTTGGCCTGGTAAACCTGCAGCACGGACATCGTGTACAGGGCCGATGCAGCCTGACCGGAGGCGGAATACTCGCGTCCAGCGAGGGCTGAGGTGCTACGGCACGGCTTGTTTGGATGAACAGCTCTAGCTCGCCAGCTAGCAGCTGTGTTCGGCAGAGATGAGCGGCCAACGCCTCTTCGAGGGGTGGCAACGACTCATAGCCTTTTTCCGCTGCTCCGTCCACGGAGGAGACCGTCGTGGAAACTGCAGGGCCTTGTGTACAATAAGGAGTGCGCCAGGCTTTGGTGAGCACCTCGTGAACTTCAGGAAAAAATGTCGCTGGCTTGTGACGAGGGGCCTGTTGATACCCCGGCAGAAACCAGCCATCCAGCCGACTTGGAGGGGGTTCAGCGGGCGCGGCCCACTCGAGCTCGAGGTCCGCTACGGCCTGCGTCAGGACCCGAAGCATTTCCGCGTCGGAGTTAGTCCTGGTAGCAGAGGCGCTGGGAGATGAAGGAGCTGGAGAGAGTGAGGCACGCGGGGACGTGGCTGGCGTGCGTTCACTAACATCCATGCTCTCCGGTTACCGTTGGCTGCGGCGCTTCTTCTTCTTCGGCTGAAGTAGGGCCGGAGAGGGAAGCGCGGTTGAAGCGGCGAACCCATCACGGGAGAGGGCTAGCCGAGTTCGCATGGGCATGCTCTCGCAGGCCGCACATCCGCCGGCAGACAGTGCTTTCTCCGCCTGAACTGTAGCTCGCTCAGGCTGAAGGCTTGTTCGACGGCGAATGTTTCAATAAATGGTCATAGACGTGAAGTTTGTCGCTGAAGGAGTAAAATCTGCTATAATGGCGAATTCGGGGACTATTATAGCCTGAGGACACGCCCCCTAGGCGGGCTCTGACATGTATGAGGCAGAGTGATCTCATTGGTCGCACGTCAGAGGCGCCCGCGCCATTGGATATGCAGTTGCCGCAGCACAGCCTATGAGCGAGCCAGACGCTCAAGTTCTGCTGTGCAGCTGCAAATGCGCTTTACATAAAGGCTTCAGTAAATCGAGGAAAAGGAGTTTTCCCACTGCGTATAGCTACACAATACGAAGTGACCGTTCGAAAGGGAACCAGGGATAACGCGGATATTACGTCATTGACAGGGGACAAGTGAACAGGGACAGGCATTATTTAAAATTGTGAATTTCTCTAAATTGACAAATTCTTGAAAACATTTAGGATAACTTAAGTACACAATTTAAAGAAATATATAACACTGTTGTGGTTTTTGGATATTTTGATACAAAATTCTTACATATTGTACCTTTAATGCTGCCTGTACAAAATTAATTGACTGAACAATAACACTTTATGGTTTTCCCAAACCATCTCAGTGTAACAGCTTAATTTTTTTCATACTAAATTATATTGTAAAGAATTGAACATTGTTTTTGTACATTATTTTTTATAGAATTTTATGGTAAAGACTGGTACAGTTAATAGGACTGTAAAAAGAAAATCTCAGGTAACCTAAAATGTTTAGTGACTTCTTAATTAACTGCTTGTTTTCAAAAATATGATTTAATACCAATAAGTTACATCAAGGTAGGGCTGGGCGATAAAACGATAACGATAATTATCGCGGTATCATTTTTCTCGATAAAACAATATCAAGAGGTCGATAAATGTTCGATAATGTGTATGCGCGAAATGCGGAAAGCAACGAAACTCATTTGAACCGCGCGCCACACAGACCGTTTATCCGCTCGGCTCAAAGTCCAAATGGCAGCGCGAGCTCACTAGAGCAGACGCGTTTACTCTGATCGTCTCGCTCACGAGATCCAGTGAGAAGCGCTTAAGTTCAGCGAAGAACACAAATGTCCAGTTTAAATCAGTTTAAAGGCAGATGAAACACCGCTGACAAACAGGAGAAACTCTGCGCAGCGAATTCAGAATCTGAATTGATACTGAATCCATTTAGCCTACCATGGATTTACTGTAACGTTAGCCTAGTAATATTAACTGCACCATGAAATGTGGGATATACATATTGAATTGTATAATATTATTAATGTAGACAATGTATTAAATGACTAATGGCATATAATTACAGTATTTAATAATGTATTTAACTGTTAGGCAACTGTTTTTCATGCAAATACCATAGAAACCATAAAGTTACATTTTGCCATGATAGTGAGGTGCTATAGGCTGTACCTGGCTTTATCTGTGATTATCATGATCTAAATGCATGATACTGGATGACCAATGGTTAATTTTAATAAAACTCAAACAGTCAGAATATTACATTTTACCAAATAAAAATGTGGTCCTTAAAATAAAATAAAAACAGATGTTACTGTTTTTGTTAATGAACATAAATTTAACATAGCAGCATTAGCTTGAGTTAGGATGCAGATTTACTGTCAACTCACTGTCAAATATGCATTTCGAGACAAAACATGTAATTTGAATATTGCAGCCTGCACTGCAAACTGTGCTGAAGAAATATTTTGTTAAGGAAAAATGACAAATGTTTGAATGTTCTACCTCAGATTTTTAAAACCACAACGCTCTGGTACAACTTTCACTTAGGAGCAAAAATCTGCCTTTAAACTTGAAAGAAATAAAGATTTGACATTTATCGTGATAATTATCGATATCGACTGATATAAAAAAAAATATCGTGATACATTTTTTGGGCCATATCGCCCAGCCCTACATCAAGGGTCAAATAAAATAGAAATGGCACATTAAAGTTCAAAGTTACAACTGCATGTTGAAACCGCTCTACAGGTCAGGTGTAAAGAATGTGTTTGCTCAGGTGCGAAAAATGTCCGCCCAATAGAGAAAAGTTTTGCTCAGCAAGAAAAACATGAGAGGGAGCATTGCCGTAAGTGAACGCTACTGTCCTCTGAGCTGTAGGAGTGCATCTCACCCCAGTGCGAGCAGCGAGGCTGGAGACGACAGACACCGTCTGTAACAGCATCAGCAGAGGAGGAATATAGGTCAGAGGATTGTCACCGCTGGGAGACACCAGCACCGTGTCAAAGCCCCGAGCCACCGCGGGCCAACAGTAGCTCTCCGCTACATTCGGCCCGTTATACTTCCTCCACAGCAGGAACTGAAACATCAGCACATGATCAGATACAACAGGTAAAGTCATCTTAAAATTAGTGCTGGGCGACGATTAATCGCACCTCAAATAAAAGTTTCTGTTTACATAATATATGTGTGTGTGCTGCGTGTAATTATTATTTATATATATATATATATATATATATATATATATATATATATATATATAAATAAAATACACACAAATGCATGTATATATTTAAGAAATATTTGCAGGTATACATTTATACTAATTTATATTATATATAAATATTTTTTATATAAATAACAAATTTTTCTTAAATATATAGATGCATGTGTGTGTATTTATATATACAAAATAATTACAGCACACATATTATGTAAACAAACTTTAATTTTGGATGCGATTAATCGTTGCCCAGCACTAATTAAAGTATAATTATAGCACTAATTAAAGTATAATCCCATATCCTCTAACACAAATGTTAAAAGTCACAAATAATACCTCAGAAGCAAGAAAGTTAATTAAGTTGGGCGCATGGCCATAGCACTTTGCAGTGGAAAAGTGTCAAATAACGCAAAATGATAAATAAAGCAATGGATATTCCAATATGGCATTATTAAGGCACGCGGATGGACCTTTCTGAACTGCTCGCTGATGGGAGCGCGTGCCAGGTTTCTGCAGGGTTCGACACGCAGGGCGGAGTGCACTAACACACCCAGGTGACCCGGGTCACAGCGCGCAGCCTGTGGAACAGCACAGGCCCGGTTAGACAACACCACACACCAGCACCATCAATACAGAAAAACCAACACTGAGGCTCTTACTTTGGCATCAAGAGATTCTTGGTCTGGATTGAGTGGATCAGGGTTCAGAAACTGCATGAGTCTGTCCAAAATAGGGTTCACACAAATAGGGGAAACATTTCTTTACGAAATAGGCAAGATAAATTAGATTGAGAGAAAATGTGTGACATGTTTGTTTGTTTAGTAAGGACAGTAATGTAAAGCCTGCCTTGACGAGGCCAGCAGATCATCAAGATTGGACTCTTGTGAGAGAGATGCCTCTTTCTGCTCCTCTGAGGAGCCACTGGCACTATGAACACACACACACACACATACACACACACACACACAGGTTTCAGATTCACTTGACGGGAATCAGACGTGCTCGTGTTGAAAACAGTGCGACGGCCTGAAGGGAAAGTGTGTTTGGCCTCACCATGATGCCGAACTCACGGCTGGTGCTGAAGCCACGCCGCTCTCCTCAGTCTGATCAGGATGGTGCCGCTTCTCCTCAGTCTGATCAGGACGGTGCCGCTTCTCCTCAGTCTGATCAGGACGGTGCCGCTTCTCTTCAGTCTGATCAGGACGGTGCCGCTTCTCTTCAGTCTGATCAGGACGGTGCCGCTTCTCTTCAACAGACTGAAAATATTAAAAGCACTTTATTTTACAGTCACTCATTTATCTGCTCGTTTACTAACTATTTCTGCAGATACAAAAAAAATTATTTAAGAATTTTGAGTGCTTACTTCAGGAATCTGCTTTGAATGTAATTTAAACTTCATGTATCTGTGAAAGAAAAACAATTTATTATATTTCTAAACGTTATATTATCATTATATTACACTAATTAACTGATTGCCGACCACAAGTAGCAGAATCTGCCAATACGATCCCCGATACCAATCTATTTGAAGAATTATTTATAGGGAATTTTACATTTATTCAGGGCCTGATTTCATTTTTGAAAATGGGAAGGTGACTTGCATTTTTTTATACAATTTTCAAAAAATATATAATTATCTCATGTTTGATCATGTAGTGGATTTTACAGTTTGTACAATGGGGCAATTGTTGCACAATAGCGTACACACAGAAAAAACCTGATTTCAAACTATGTACTGAATTCACAAAAGACAAGTAAACAGTCAGTAATAAAAGAAGAACATAAATAAACAATTTACAAGCAGTAGCACAAATAAATTAAATTAAAGATTCAAATAAAATAAACTACTTTTTTTTTAGGTAGGTCTAACAGCAGTGTTGAGTATTGTAAGAAATACTAAAGAAATGTAATAGGAAATCAAATGTAAAATAATGCTGGATGGTCTTCCCTGAATAAATTAAATACAGATTAATCCTTACAATTAAGCTTACAAAAGTTAGTCATTCAAGAGCAGCGAGTGTCATACATTTTAATTAAACAACAAAAGATTTTTAAAAATCATTATTATTCGGCTGCGGTCACTTTAAGAGCTGTACGGATCCAATATACAGTTACTAAACTTCCTCAGCTGTTTACGTTCACTTAAGACAAAACCGACTCTGTTTACGTGCATTCTAGTCAAGACGGTAATAATGTACGATCGTGTGTATTTGACCATTTAAGGGCAATCGTGTACTGGCGAGCTGTTTGTAAGGCGGCCATGTGTGTGTGACCGCGAGTGCTGAGGGGTGTAAACACTAGCAAGACTTAAAAAGAAATGCAAATTATAAACTTTAGTGATGATGCGACACTGTCTCGATTGTGCAAGTGACACAATTATTTGTGAAATTACATCTTACAGTAAGTTTTCAAATTACTTTGGTGTGAGTTATTTAATAAAGAAATATGAATTGTACCTCACCTTCAGCATTATTATAGTCATTATCATTATTAGTCTTATGCGTCATCAGCATGAGATCGGCCTGATAGATTTTGTATTTTCAGTCATCCGATTAATTTACATTGTGACTCTGTATCAGATGTAATCCACTCTGTCTGTGTCTGCAAAGGTGTGTGTCAAATGGCCCATAGAAACTGATTGGTGTGAATGAATAAGAAGAATCAGCATTGCTCAGAGTGTATTAGCAAGTTAGATCGATCTTCTGTGGGAGGTTTCTAACAGGTCCAAATCCTCCTAACAGGTTTCTATTGTTTTTAGCCCATAGGATATGTCTTCATGTATAAAGTTCTGTCTCACAGACAGAACTTTGGGTTACGATTGTTGAAGGGCGACATGCTAACATCGCTGCTGAAGGATTGCTACACTACAAACCTTCAATAAATTCTTCTCCCCACAAGAACTGGTCAAGCTTACTTATTTTATGCATTGGAGAAATCTAATACATTGGCGAGCCACCCAAACCACTGCTCGGCCAAATACACCAAAATCTAACAATTTGGCGAGCCAGCCAGGAGAGACTGACAAGAATAGAACTTACCATCTGCAACAAGGAGTAAACCAAAAACTCACCAGCTTCAACAAGAAGTAAACGGAATAGTTTTCGAGTATCTGAAGTTCAAAAGACTGCATCTGTGGACACAATTTATTTGAATCAACTGGATCCGGTCTCAAATATCCTAATTTGGTGAGTTAGACTTATGAGCTCTCTAAAAGAACATCTTCTGAAAAGAATAATAGTAGACCAGTAAAGATTTGTAGAGTAGTCACACACACAGTGTATTGTTGAGAATTTTAGGCTTGGGCCTTTTTCGTGAGTCTGTAGGAACCTTTTAAATGATTAATTCTCCTGAAACTGTAGGAGCTATAGAAATAAGTTTTATAGCTTGGCCCTGTTCTGGTTTGGTCTGTTCTCGTGGGATTGTAGGAGCTATTGAAATAAAGTATAAGTTTGGTCCTTTCTCTGGAGTCTGTAGGAATTCTTAAAGAAACAATTTAGTCCGTTCGTCCAGAGATTGCAGAAACTGTATAGGGTTTGGTCTTTTCTTTGGGCCTTTCTCATGAGTCTGTAGGTGCCTTTTACATGATATAGTTAATTCTTGTGAAACTGTAGGAGCTATATAAGTTTTATAGCTTGGCCATGTTTTCTTAAGTCTGTAATAATAATTTAAGAAGAAATTTTAGTCCGTTCTCATGAGACTGTAGGAGCCATTGAAATATAGTATAAGGTTTGGTCCTTTTTTTGGAGTCTGTGGGAATTGTTAAAGAAACAATTTAGTCCATTCGTCCAAAAATTGTAGAAACTGTATAAGGTTTGGTACTGATGTTGCTGCAAGAATTGGATTGGGAATTCTTGACTGGGTGCTAATTCAGTAGCCAATATTTTAGTTTTGAATTAAACATTCTAATTGTGTTAGAAACTAGAAGTTTATTTGCCTTCTGATGAAAGATGCAGAAAGATTGAAAGTCTAATCTCTAAGGGACAAATTTAAACCAATTCAGGATAGGACTCAGAAAGAACTGAACAAGTCTTATTAATCAGGAGTTTTTCAGAAATGAAACAAGGAAACTTACTCTGAAAGTGAATTTTTGTTTTGAATGTAGTATTGAAAACTAAGCCGAGTAAGTAAACTAATGACTTGTCAGTGTAACTGAAATGGTCAGTCTAAAGACTGCTGAGAATTTAAATAAGCACCTTTAACGGCTCTAACACTTTTTGTTTCGTTTCCACACCTCTGAGGGCACTTCTCATATACTTGCCATGGCTGAGTCTGCACTAACAAATGCCCTGCACTGAGGCCAACAACAGAAAGACATGGGACAGAACCTCCAAATGTTACCATTGATCAGATGATGGACAATCTGAATGCATATTTGGGCAAAAGGCTGGGACTGAGGAAGTGCCATGATGACATGTGCCAGAAGTACGACATCAAGCACTCAGAGAGCGGACTATGGGCCTTGCCGGACATTAAAAGGGCTTATGGAAAGATGCAGCGCTTAAGGACAAACACCAACAGAGATGGCTTGTCTGTGATTTTGGTAAAACAAATTCTACAGCATCGGCAGAAGTGTGAGACTGACAAATCACAGCGCGAGTACAATGCAGAGAAAGCAAAGGTTCGAGCACTGGCTGAACAATTGCAGAAAGACAAAGAAAGACTCTTAAATGATAATGACAAGCTGTTAAAGTTGCTTTCCACACAACTGGAATCAAAAGACTGTTCTGGACCAAAAACTCCCATAAAATCTAGCAGCAAGATATAGAAAGAGTCACTCTACCCATTTAAAGACCTCAAGAAGATTGAGGATCAACAACGTCATTATCTACTAGGAGAAAGTGACAGCAGCTCGACGGGGAGCCCTGATGACAGTGATGTTGAACCTGAGACACATGCTCATGTCACCAAGAAGAACAAAAAGGTTAGACTCGCTCCTGTAATTGTCAAGAACAGAAGGACTGAAATTGAAGTTGACAATGAGGAGGAGTATGAGGAAGGAGAAAGACGAACCCGCATCGTAAAAAAAACTATTAAGAAATATGTTCCCTGTAAAACATACCAGCCAGCTTCACCGGAGCAAGTAGACAAGTGGTCTAAGGAGAGAGGTGCACATACAGCGGCATTAAGACAACTTCAGCAAGTTTTGCCATGTAAACTGATTCAAGATGAAGCATCCAGAAAGCAAATGCCATCAGTGAAAGAAGCTAAAACAAAACTGCATAATGACAAGCAATGCAGTAAGGATGACCACAAGGAAATTGGACTATGCCCTTTTGAACATGTCACCGGCCGGCCCATGTCCAATGAAAATCTAACATCTGACAGCCTTGCCCAAACTGATGAAAGACTCAGCCTGGTAGAACACAATGCCAAGAATCAATTTTCACCATTAGAATCCAGGAGGGAAAGCCTTCAGGATCTCATGGTAACTGATGAAGCAGTTAAGGTGCAGAGAAAAGATGAGTGGACCGACGTGAGCCATTGGGATTTGAAACATCTGCCTAGAGACGAGGGAAAGACGGCAGTAGTGTTTATCAGAGTCCAGATATGGCGGGACTAGGGTTTTTAGGCTCTAGCTTGTCGCCTGAGGACGAAGACATAAACCTACAGCCACTGATAAACACAGTAGTGTCCTGCCAATATTAAATAGGGACAGTTTTTCAGGCAGTTATGAACTATGTGTTCAAAATATTTTCCTTGGCAAAGATACGTTCCCCGTTTCTCTTTTGTGTGATTGCAGGTGTTCCAGCGTTCCAGAGGATGAGCAAAGACATCCAACGTTTAGACTGCACTGGCCACCTAGATGAAAACTCATGAATATACACAGAACACATCACTATCTGCCATTTCCAAAAGATCACAACTCCAAAATAAAAGCTTCCAGAGGATTCAAGCATTCAAGAGGATGCAAAGTTTCACCAAGAACTCTTATACTGTAATTTTAAGAAGGAACCTGTATACAGCATGTGTATATGATATCATTATATCTATTTGTTTTATGTTCTTTATTTTTTTATGTGATCAAATATGATCAAAGGAGGGATTGATAGATTTTGTATTTTCAGTCATCAGATTAATTTACATTGTGACTGTGTATCAGATGTAATCCACTCTGTGTGTGTCTGCAAAGGTGTGTGTCAAATGGCCCATTCAGATGAATGGCCCATAGAAACTGATTGGTGTGAATGAATAAAAAGAATTAGCATTGCTCAGAGTGGATTAGCAAGTTAGATCGATCTCCTGTGGGAGGTCCTCCTAACAGGTTTCTATTGTTTGTAGCCCATAGGATATGTCTTCATGTATAAAGTTTTGTCTCACAGACAGAACTTTGGGTTAAGATTGTTGAAGGGCGACATGCTAACATCGCTGCTGAAGGACTGCTACACTACAAACCTTCAATAAATTCTTCTCCCCACAAGAACTGGTCAAGCTTACTTATTTTATGTATTGGAGAAATCTAATACATTGGCGAGCCACCCAAACCACTGCTCGGCAAAATACACCAAAATCTAACAGGCCTTTATAGAGGCCGCCGGTCAATCTCTCTAAAGCCATTATTGACTGATAGCGATCGGTAGCCGATCAATCAGAGCACCCCTAATTTGTTGGCTTGTTAACTAAATTACTTTGTATTATCACCTTCATAAAATCAGATCTATTTAGAGGCAAGTCGGGTGTCAATCTAAACTCAAACATACAATCCAAAACTCAATTATACGAGTTATGAGCTCTTTAGGAGGAACCAGATTCAGATGAGTCTTACTGGGCCTTGTTCATGCCGGTCTGCGCACAGGTTTCATCTGTGGTAATGCCCGTGGCCTCGACTCTGATCCGCCATCCTCTGCCGATCTGAATCAAACCACAGGAGTCACAGTTAAACTGGGATCCGGCGTTCACTGGTGCCACTATAAAGCCCAACTCTGTGCTCATCTGTCGAGCTTGATCGCTCTCTTGTGTTATAAATGGACACTTACAGTGTCGGTGCTGGCATTGCGGGTCAGTTTATGGACTCGAGGTTTGACCGGAGCAGGCGTGTGTTCTTCCTCCGACACCTGCGGTTTCTGCGGCTCGCTTTCTAAAGGAGAAACACACAGAAATACTCCCAATCACAAGACATTCACTAACCAGGCTGCCAATGTTACATTCATTTTAGTGTGATTAAATACAAATAAAAAAAATGTTAATGCAATTCTATTATTTGAGGAGAACAATAGCAATCAGACCAGCAAGAGGCAACAGTATAGAAGTGCTGTAACAAGTCTTAGTTAGTCTAGCACAGTGCACATAGCAAGGTTTTGTTTTGTTTTAAATCAGAAAAACAAATAGAATAGAAAAGAAAAGGTAAGTGCAAGTATTAATTGGTCCGGTGCTGACGAAAAAGATGTTAATATAATAATATTAATAAAACGGGAATGTGCAATTATTTTTCTAATAATTAAATTAACCAGATTCAATTATTCCTCTTATACTACGGTAACCACACCTCAAGACATTGGGTCTCATTTACTAAGCAAATGTGTGCAAGAACGATTTTAAGAACAAAAACAAAACAAAAATCACGATTCACCAAAAATTTCATAATACATTTATTTGAAATTTCCCAAAAAAATATAGGAACTGAAACCACACGTACACAAAAAGCACTTGCCCTGTGCAGCCTTATAATCGTGTAAAGAAGTTATATTTCATCCCAACACGACTATAATCATTTTGAGGTATGCTGCATTAATTGTATTATATAATCCATATATGAAATAATACAATTGAATTCCATCTTACTGTAAATAAATTCCATCATTCAGTTAAAGAGTCAGGAAAGCTGCGCTATAGCTTCAGCTATTCGCAAGTTTGACGCGAGTGATGAAGAGCTGTAAGGAAAGCTCTTATGTGGAGCTGGTTTGGGCGTGTTTTATGCTAATGTGTTTTATGCTAACGACTGACCCTGTGCACGCCGGCGCTCATTTAGAAATACTCCCAATTCACTAACATCAGAACGATGTTAAGAACAAATTCATGTGCGTACGAACGTGTTGAGACATTTTTCGTGAGATGGTCTCCTGTGTGTACAAATACTAAATAATCCACGCAATTATTAGTGAATGAGACCCACTGTCCTTAAAGCGCTCTTGTATGTGTGGGACTAATTTCTTACGCATCTCATCCATTGCCAATTCCAAAATAGTAATTGTAGAGCTAGTAACCAAGGTTTTTAGCCACTGAGAGCAGACTAATGCAGTTATATATATATATATATATATATATATATATATATATATATATATATATATATATATATATATATAACTATATATATATATATATATATATATATATATATATATATATATATATATATATAGAGAGAGAGAGAGAGAGAGAGAGAGAGAGAGAGAGAGAGAGATTAAGTGTGTGTGAATTACCCGAGTCTGTGTGTCTCTCAACAGTGTTCGGCACCAGCGTCTCTAATATTGAAACTGTAGAGAGAGAGAGAGAGAGAGAGATTAAGTGTGTGTGAATTACCCGAGTCTGTGTGTCTCTCAACAGTGTTCGGCACCAGCGTCTCTAATATTGAAACTGTAGAGAGAGAGAGAGAGAGAGAGAGAGAGAGAGAGAGATTAAGTGTGTGTGAATTACCCGAGTCTGTGTGTCTCTCAACAGTGTTCGGCACCAGCGTCTCTAATATTGAAACTGTAGAGAGAGAGAGAGAGAGAGAGAGAGAGAGAGATTAAGTGTGTGTGAATTACCCGAGTCTGTGTGTCTCTCAACAGTGTTCGGCACCAGCGTCTCTAATATTGAAACTGTAAGTTGATCTGCTTCAAGAACAGCGCAGTTATTTCCTCACTAATGAGAAACGTCATGTAGCTTTGATGATTTTATCAGTAAAATAGTTCAGCAACTTAAGAGCAGCGCTGAGTGTGTGTCCGTGCTGTGTGTGTGCGTTTGAGCGGCAGAAAGAGAGTAAGTGCTAGGGATGGCTCGATACCACAATTTTGGCTTTGGTACGATACCAGAACCTAATACCTCGGTATCGATACTAAATCGATACCACAGGTAAAAAAAAAAAAACAGTCTCAAAATTTAAGTGACACTTAAAAAACACTGCTTGAAATTCTCCACTACCAAATGTGCAAAGAAAATTTATCAAATTGTAAAAAAAAAAAAAAAAAAAAAAAAAAAACTGAAATTATACAATTAAAATAGGTTAATATCTATAATAATAGATTCACATATAATAATAGAATAATGAAATGACATGTAAACCATTAGCTGTCATGCATCAACAAAGATTTATCAACATTTATTGCATTTATTCATCTTGGTTTGGTTACTGTTTGGGTTCATATTAGTTTAATGCATTGCATAAAGTAATGTTAACATGCTAAAAACATGTATTAGTAAATTCAATTTTCTAGGTCATTTTAATTACTGATTGATATAGATTAACAAATGATATATTACTGTTAGGTCAGGTTACCTAATGAATGTTGACAAATGTAGCTTAATTGTAATATTAGTAATATTCATATTACTACTGTTACTCTCTCCCTCTCTCGGCTTATTGCTCTAGGGGTCACCACAGCGGCACTAATATGCCATTCATTTTACTATCACTAATACTAAAATGAATATTATTCACATTTTTATTCTTTATTCATTCAAATTCAATTAATACATGTTTGTTTGAAAGTGCAAAAATGATGAGACCTACACTTAATTGGTTCTAGCGTGTCATGCAAGCAGATTTGAGCCTTCGTGTTTACCGTATCATAAATGATAAGCTCGTATGTGCGCTGTTCAATGTTCAATAAAAGTCTAAATTAAATCAGTTGAATGATGGACTAACCTGTCGATCTCTGAACTCTTTGAACAAGTCAAGATGAGCAACTGACAAGTCAAGTGCTATAGGCAGATTTGATGTGTTGCCTCCCCGTTTGCAGAGTGGTGAATTGAGATCTGTTTCTTTACTTTTCTCATTACTTTTGTTGGCAAAGTAATGCCTTATTTCACTCATACTGCTCTCTCTGTTTATTAATTTCGGGCGTGTAGAAATTCGAATGACTTTCGTTTGATCCATCGTGTTCCTCGGTTGTTGTCACCGTTTGCCGGTTTCGCGTGACCCAATTTTCACAGTTTAGGTAGCGCACCGCCGCCTAGCGGTGAACTTCGAAACAGCAGCGCATCAAATACCGAATTGAACAAAATTATGATATTGTACCGTTTGAAATATAATATATACCGGTATTTTTGCAGTACCGGTATACCGCGCATCCCTAGTAAGTGCTTTTCCATAATAAATAATAAATACAAAATAAAATGAAACTTTTAAATATAACTGAAAACAACTGCATATCTTATTATAATGTTCGTCAGCCAATCAGATTCAAGCATTCAACAGCCCCATTGGATAAATATATATTATACACTTTTATTCAGCAAGGATTCATTAAATTGATCAATAGCGAGTAAAAACATTTATGTTACAAAAGATTTATATTTTGAATCGATGCTGTTCTTTTTGTTAACTTTTTATTTAAGGATCCTGAACAAAAATTATATGAAAATATGAAGCAGCACGACTCAAATCATCATATTAGAGTGACTTCTGAAGGATCATGTGACACTGAAGACTGGAGTAATGATGCTGGAAATTCAGCTTTGATCACAGGAATAAATTACACTTTACTGTATATTCACACAGAAAACAGATATTTAAAATTCTAATAATATTTCACTGTTTTTTTTATCAAATAAATAAATGCAGCCTTGGTGAGCGGAAGAGACTTCTTTCAAAAAGAGTAAAAGATCTCCCCAAACTTGACCTGTCTGTGGTTGTGGATCATCTCTCCGCTCGGTTCGGTGGGGATTCTGGGGAATATCGGGCGCGGGCGAAGCTTTGACCGGACAGCAGCCCTTCATCTCTAAGAGCTCTTGAGGACAGGAGTAAATGTCCCACGCCAGGCTGACAGGAACCCGGTCTCCATTCCTGTTCCCGTCCGGCACGCTGGACTTCTCACTCACGAAACAGGCAAACTTCTTGGCCACGAGCTCATGGTTCACACAGATCTGCTCAACGACAGTGGACTGGCACTTAGCAGCTGTCTGAGATCCTGCTCAGCACGTCACATAAATAAACACACTTTACCTTTGTATCATTGATAGTCAAGTAGAGTTCAACGGCAGAGCAACCGGCGTGCGTCTCACACAGAACGGCTTCCACCAGAGTCGACACTAGAAACACACAGAGCGTCTATAAACACACAATGGAGGGAATGCATTGAGGAACAGCGAGTGGCAGAAGAGCTGCTGAGGGACTGGAGTAAACAGGGAAACTGAGAAAACACCAGTAAAACAAACCATTATTAGTTTAAACAAAAGCTTGGACTCGATATAGTGTTCCTTACAACTCACACAGATCCAGTGATCGTGGATCTCGACATGCAGCAGGAATCATGTTTCCTGATTTATATGAGCCGGATTTCCACACCGGGGAAATACATCAAGCAAATTTGCCTTATATAATAACAATATAGGTTTAAATCCATGTGATCACTCATATCAATGTTATATATATCATCATATCGTCCAGCTAGGGCTGCACGATTTGGGGAAAATGTCATATTGCGATTATTGAGGTCAATATTGCGATATGCGATTGCGATATAATAAACAAATGGTTTCATGAGTCAACTTGCTTGGTTCTAAAGCAAAATGCACACACAGATTAGTGATAAATCTGAAATGTGTATTTCTCAACTCAAACTAGCAACAACAACTTAATGATTGACAACACCTATAATGATCAATAAGCCATTGATGTCTGGATAAAAATTAATTTAATTTGAATTTAAGTGAACTTCAAACAATCCTCACATAAACCCATAATAAATGTCATATTTACCTGTGCTCTTCCTGTCTACAGGTAGGACATACAGTAATTGAATAAAGTTATCAAACAGTCTGCGCTGCATAAATTATAAATTATATGGACTAAAATGCTATTTAAAGCTACACAAGTTCTTTGGTCAAGAGCAGTGAGTGTTTTTCTCTGTTCCCTTTGTTCTTTGATTAACTTTACTGACAGAAAGCATTATTGGATGCTGGCCCTTTAAGAGTTGCTGACAGAGACGCGGATCTCACACGCGCCTCATTCTCTCACAACTCTTTACGACCATCATAAGACTGCTCTTATGATATGAAGACACTCGACAAATTATATTTTGGCATAATTGTGCGTGTTATTGTTCGTTCACTTCGAGCGGAAAGAGAACTGTATTCTGGCGCGCGGTCTGCGCACGCGCATGATACTGGTGCGCGTCTTTCAGTCAGGACATTCACAGGCAGCGCGCTCTCTTTTGACTTGTCTCGCTGAATGGTTTAAAGCATTCGCATGAATAAGAGCGGGATCATGTAACACTAGCCAATAGGGGTGTAACGGTACATGTATTCGTATTGAACCGTTTCGGTTCGAAGCTTCCGGTTCGGTACGCATACAAACCGAACGATTACTTGGACCATTTTTCCTGCCGACAAAATTCGGGCTGGCGCGATCACCACAACGTTGCGCAACATCAAATGGCAAGCGTAATGAAACCGGAACGAAACTGCGCTATTGTGCTTCACGGATCGTTTATCAGTTCGGAGCAGAGCAGCAACATCTGTGCAGCGGGAGCCGATCTCGATCAAGCGACACTGTTACAACCGTTACAACACAGCGCTAAGAGATCCAGTAAAGAAAACATTTGAGTTCGCCACTGAAGTAATAACATCGCTGCGAGATCTAGTGAGAAGCATTAACATTTCTCCGTTATTAACCGTAGATCTCTATTAGATCAAACAGCGCTGACGTGGACACCAGGAGAAACATTGTGCCGTGAATGAACTAATACTTTACGTCCACAGACCAGCAACATTCACCATGGATTTAATATAGTAACACTAAATGTAACCAGTTTGGCTGGAATAGTGAAATGCTTTCAAGTACTTCACACATCTTTTTCCAGCACTTCAAAACTCAAATATTATATAAATAAATAGCCTATATGAAGAGTTCAGATGCAAAAGCCTCTATAAGTGCCATTTGAAATTTTCTTCTAGAAATGAGAATGATCATTTTTATGAAGCTTGTACATTTAAGTTCAGTAATTTCACTCAAATGACAATTAATAGGCAATCTTCATTGCCATTTAAGTGAAATTACTGAACTTAAATATACAAGCTTGATAAAAATTATCATTCTAAGAAAATTTCAAATGGCTTTTGCATCTAAACTCTTCATATATTTAAATGTTATTTTTAATGTGATGACCAAAACATTATTTGTTCATCCTTCAAAGATGACACCCATTTATAAACCTGAAAGTTTCAAGATGTAGGAAAACTCACTTATTTAAAAAATATTTTTTCTTTTAACAAATAGGAAATTTCTCTGGCATTTCTTACTTTTTGCTGTATCGAAAACGTACCGAACCGTGACTTTAAAATCGAGGTACGTACCGAACCGTGATTTTTGTGTACCGTTACACCCTACTAGCCAAAGGATGACAAAAAATAACAGATGCTGCGTTGACAGCCCTAATTTGTTTATTTCATATAAAATCGCAGTATTTTGCGTCATATAATCGCATAGGTTTGACATCGCGATTACGATGTGATTAATTGTGCAGCACTAAAACTTGTGTAGTTTTTAGTCAGTGTTTATTTAAAAACACCCAATTATGCAGAATATATGATGGTAAATATTTAATTTAGTTGTGAATACAATATATAGGGTATGATTTTACCCCATAATTCGGCATATTGACACAAAATGACTGCAAATCCAGCTTTATCTGTCTGGATCCAGTCGTTTCTGTGATTCATTTGCTTCTCAGTTCTGCAGCTTTCGGCAGTCAGAAAAAACGATACCTCAGATTTCTTGTCAAATCTAGTTATACGGTCAATCTCAAAGCTCTTTCCCGTTTTAGATGCGTTTTGTGTGTTTTTCGCAAGTGAAAACCAATGGTCAGCGTTTCTGCCACTCAGTGTGTGTGTGACCGCAGTCACTCCGGCCGGCGGTGACGTCACACGCATACCCTCATACACACAGCAAACAGGAGAATCACCACAGCACACTCTTACCTTGTAACAGATTGTGCAAGTATTTGGTGGCAGAGCTGTCCCACGTTGAGGAGGGCCTGAGATCAGACAGAGGGAAACAGAGCATCAGAACACATGCGAGTGCAGCACAGAGACTTCTTCAGGAGAGGGACTTACACGAGCTCGGCCGGGTCTCCAGAGACCGGCACCTGAAGGGTCATGGGGCGAACCCCAGCCAGGCTGAAGCGGCGCACCCTGAAGGACAGCTGCAGGAACTTCTCCAGAGGAGTTCTGACACTGAGAGCAAATCAACAGGGCAGATATAAGCCAGTCCTGGGTGAAGCTCTACAGTGTTTTGCCAACCGTTAGGAGACGCATCACATCCTCACTAGTGGTGGGGGGAAAATCCGCACGCAATTACATCGATACAGTAGCGCAAAGTATTGCAATATTTAATGATAAATTATCTGTTTTACTTTCGGGTTTTCTCCATTGGTTTTCTCTGAGTTTACTCCAGTGTTTCCTCTAGGATTTTTTCCAGCCGTGGTGGCAGGCCCATTTCGCCAGGGGGAGGGGGCGTGGCCCATGAGTGATATTCCCATTGGCCACGCCCCCTTATCCCAGGTGTTTAAACCTCCCCTAAGCATTATAACATGAAAGGCGCCAATAAGAGCGGCAAAGCGATTATGCGCATCCCGTGCGCAGAGTGATGCACTTGAAGCAACGTGAAGTCACAGCGTGCAGCGCTTCGCATTGAAAAGTTCAAAGCACAAAGTGAAGAGATTATATCTATCTATGCTTAATGTATTATATCTATGCAACAGTTTATTGAGCCTTTTCTTTTAACAGTTTTAAATTTCAGTTAACTTACAGTGCGCATGAAGAACAATTCATAGTGCTCTCTACTCTACTGCTGTAGTAACAGACACCCGGGAGAAAGGAATATGATTTAGAAAGCGCTATAAACTCCAGCAAGATAAAGTAATTTTATGCAAACCATAGACCTTTACCTACAAATAAAGTATAATAATGGGAACATTGATCTTGAAGAGAGTGTCGTCGTGTTACTGTCGTACCCGAACGCGACGCGCTGTTTGAATGCTGAATGGAGAATGACCGAGGATGAGTTTACATTAACTTTAACTTAACGACTTAAATATAAATTTTTACCTCACATTATGCTATTGAATGACTTTAGAAGTCTTGGAATATAGTGCCAAGAGGTGTGGCGGCCCGCCACGGCAGAATGAATGTAGCGGAAACACTGTACTCTGATAGTTTACATTTGCGTATTATATCCACAAGGTGGCGCTTGTTGCAGTGCTTTGTTGTCGTGCATTTAACAGCAAATTCAAATGAAAATAGCTTCACCATCACAACCGGCTGAACACGACGCTCCGCCTTCGAAAGTGTGAGTAAATCAAATGGTTGATGACCTTGCAGCCAACAGGACTGGACTCTAGCAGTACACATTTTTGTTTATTTTTCTCAATTTGATTGAAGCTCCAAGTTACTCTTATTTATATGATTATTCTCAGGTTTATGTTACTCTATTGTATTTAAATTAGTGGTGGGCCGTTATCCGCGTTAACGTGCTGCGGTAAAAAAAATATCGCCGTTAATCTATTCTCAAAGTTGGGTTGGGAGCTGGGTCTATACTACGCAAGCTATGATGACTTTCACCTTGATATTTTAGCGCGGATGTAACCGAATTGCATTGTAGGGAGCATTTAATACCAATATATTGAAACGTCTGTTTATCCATACTCCCTTAATAAAGATTTCAGATAATATTACAAAGATAATAAAAATATCAGTCTACACATGCGTTTTATACTTAATATGAGGGAAATACACATCTGTAACCGACGTGACACAAAAAAAACTTACAACTTTTAGGTGGCAAAAGTACAAAAAGTAATACTACCCACAGGATGAAGAAGGGTTGGCTCTCCACAGAACATCAAATATTCATTTTGTCTTATTTTCCGTGTACGCATTTATGAGGGAAAAACAATGTCACGTGACAGTTCCCCGTTACGGACGCGAGTGCTCTGAAAGCGGCACTGAAAGACTGCTTTAAAACTTTCAGAGACATCAAACATAAAGCACAAAGCCTTTCATTAAGGTGAATTTCGTTTTGTATTAATTGTATCTTAATTTTAATCAATGTTTCATCAACCATTTGCCTGGATTTAATAAATAAGAAGTAAATATAGCAGACAATAGATAATCACGACACGGAGGCGCCGGCGCGTGAACTGGAGCTCGTCTCATGAGTCATAAATGAACCGAAACACAGCGTATAAGGAGTACAGTGGGTGGCGTGAGGTGCAAATGTATAATGTAGAGAATAGTTACGAAAATGGAGAGAAAATATAAATCGGGCGCATTAAAAAGAAAATAACGAGATAGTCTTTGTGTTTTATTTAACATAAGCTTACTTGGCTCAACAAGTGACACATTATTACATATGCATTCATTAGATATTTAACATTTTTTTTTTACGGTTTTAATTTTAAAATGACTTTGTAGCAGAGGGCCCCATGATGAAGCTCCGCCCCCACTGTACTGAGAGTCTAGCCCCGGCCCCACTGTACTAAGAGTCTAGCTCCACCCCCACTGTACTAAGAGTCTAGCTCCGCCCCCACTGTACTGAGAGTCTAGCCCCGCCCCCACTGTACTGATAGTCTAGCTCCGCCCCCACTGTACTAAGAGTCTAGCTCCGCCCCCACTGTACTGATAGTCTAGCCCCGCCCCCACTGTACTAAGAGTCTAGCTCCACCCCCACTGTACTGAGAGTCTAGCTCCGCCCCCACTGTACTGATAGTCTAGCTCCGCCCCCACTGTACTAAGAGTCTCGCTCCGCCCCCACTGTACTGATAGTCTAGCTCCACCACCACTGTACTGAGAGTCTAGCTCCGCCCCCACTGTACTGATAGTCTAGCTCCGCCCCCACTGTACTAAGAGTCTCGCTCCGCCCCCACTGTACTGATAGTCTAGCCCCGCCCCCACTGTACTAAGAGTCTCGCTCCGCCCCCACTGTACTGATAGTCTAGCTCCGCCCCCACTGTACTAAGAGTCTCGCTCCGCCCCCACTGTACTGATAGTCTAGCCCCGCCCCCACTGTACTAATGGCGCTTTTCCACTACACAGTACTAGCTCGCCTCGGCTCGGCTCGGCTCGCCTTTGTTTGGTTTTCCACTGTGTAAAAGTTGTACCTGTACCTGCTCTCGGGTACTTTTTTTCGTACCACCTCCGGCGAGGTTCTAAGCGAGCTGAGGCGAGCTAAGCCGATACTAAAATGTGACGTGAAAACAATGCCGACTGCTGATTGGTCACAGAGAATCTGCGTCATCATTGCACGCGCCAGATGGAGTATCCAGAATAACCCCGCCATTTTTAAAATAGTTTGGCCAGAGATAGTTACTAAACTTACTACTATTATTATGGCAACTCGGAAGAATACGCCGTGGTCAAACGAGGAGGTGCAGACATTCCTTTGTTTGGTTGCCGAAGAGAGGATCCAGCGAGAGCTTGATGGGGCAACGAGGAACGAAATGCGTCGCTATGACGACCGGGTACTATTTGTGGCGGTACTTTCTGCAATGGAAAACGGAGCGAAAAGCGAGCCGAGTCGAGGCGAGCCAAGGCGAGTCGAGTCGAGCTGGTACTGGTAATGGAAAAGCGCCATAAGAGTCTAGCTCCACTCCCACTGTACTAAGAGTCTAGCTCCGCCCCCACTGTACTGAGAGTCTAGCCCCGCCCCCACTGTACTGATAGTCTAGCCCCGCCCCCACTGTACTAAGAGTCTAGCTCCACCCCCACTGTACTAAGAGTCTAGCTCCGCCCCCACTGTACTAAGAGTCTAGCTCCGCCCCCACTGTACTAAGAGTCTAGCTCCGCCCCCACTGTGATGATAGTCTAGCTCCGCCCCCACTGTACTGAGAGTCTAGCTCCACCCCCACTGTACTGAGTCTAGCTCCGCCCCCACTGTACTGAGAGTCTAGCTCCGCCCCTGCACATCTTACCTGTGAGGTTATTTATTTGGGTAGCACACATATTCTGAATGCCTTGGCAGAATTCAAATGAGCCATTTTAATCTATATTAATTCCAAGATTACAGTGAGATTAATCTAGATTAAAAAAATTAATCTATGCCCATTTTTTAAATAATTGTAAGTTATGTGCTGGGAGTTCAGCATTCATGTGAGAGGTCTCCTATTCAGAGACTAATGACGTCCTGTCCTGTAATAAGGTCCTGTGTCCTGAATGTTCAAGGACTAAGTTTCTGCACTTCAGTTAATGTGTAGAAGATAATGTTCACAGAAATAAATGTGACATTTGAAGTGAGTCTTATTTTCCTCATTTTTTGTAATGCCTTTGAATAAAATGGGGGACATGAATCGCAATATATCGCAGACTCGAATCGAGAATCGAATAGCAATACTTGCTGTATTGCAATATGTTAAGAATCGCAAAAATATTGAATCGTGGCCCAAATTTTGCAATACTATCGAATCGTCACATTTTTGCCAATTCCCAGCCCTAATCTTCACACTGAGTGGAAGCAAAGTGGACAGCTAAAATAAAGTGGAACTAAAAATACTTCATGCATTTAAAGGACTTTTAATTATAAAGACGTCAAAAAACACACTGGGACTATTTTGAAATGTCCATGCTTTACTTTTTCCGGCTGCTCATTCAAAATGATGGGGAGATAATTATATGCACTAGTTTCTTATAACTCTTTACAACATATTACAAACATCATGCAAACACTGTCATAATTCATCAAAAGTAGTCCATCGGCAACCGTTGCATGGTAATCGCTGACTGAACTGCTCTAAAACCAGCGCTTTGACTCCGAACCAGCAGCACTTGCATTCATATAAATCATACTTTTAAAATGTAATAATCACATTAGGCCGTTTTTTTCTGTCCCCAAATTAAGACCTCTTAAAATGATAGTTAAGACTTCTGTTACACCACAAGATATTTATGACCTTAAAGGGATAGTTTACCCAAAAATAAAAATTCTCGCATAATTTACTCACCCTCGTGCCATCGCTTTCTTTCTTCAGAACAACACAAACAAAGATTCTTAGGAAAATAATGAATAATAAACCAAACGCAGCGATGGCAATCCACACGACCCCAGTGGACGGATCGAAGTTTTCTGAAGCCAAACGATAGGTGTGTGTAAAAACAAATTGCAATATTTTTATTTTAAACTCTTAACTATAAAGCATTGCTTCACAGCAACTGTTCTAGGGACAGAAACGACTTCAGCTTAACACAAACGTAAGGGCGTTTTAAAGTTTGCGTGGCGCTCGTATGACAGTAGATCGAAAACAATGATTTATTCTTTAAAGAAGACATTGATGGCATGAGGGCGAGTAAATGCTGAGAGAATCTATCCCTTTACACTTGATAAAACCAATTCAGGACATTTTAAAAGGCTTCATACTCATCCGCTCTGACGATGATGTGATCTCCATGGTCTACCAGCAAACACCAGGCCTGAGAGTCCAGCGTCCCCCTCGATGACGGACTCGACCACGGCACGACACCAGCTCTTCAGAGCCAGACTGAACACCACACACACCTGAGACAGAGAGAGAGAGAGAGAGGAGGAGGAGGAGGAGAGAGAGAAAGAGAGAGAGAGAGAGAGAGAGAGAGAGGGAGAGAGGGAGAGAGGGAGATAGAGAGAGAGGAGGAGAGAGGAGAGAGGAGGAGAGAGAGAGAGAGGAGGAGGAGGAGGAGAGAGAGAAAGAGAGAGAGAGATGGAGAGAGAGATGGAGAGAGAGGAGGAGAGAGAGGAGGAGAGAGAGAGAGAGAGAGATAGGAGGAGGAGGAGGAGGAGAGAGAGAAAGAGAGATAGAGATGGAGAGAG